GCGAAGGGAGTCGACGTGGTCGCCGGCGATGACGAGACGGGCGTGTGCACGGCGTGTGTCGAAGGAAAAATGGCTCGGAAGCCATTTGGTAGCCGAACGTCACCCCGCGCTAAGGACCCGCTTGCGCTTGTTCATATGGACGTGTGTGGACCGATGCGACATGCATCAAAGGGAGGAGCGCGGTTTCTCTTGGTGATGCTCGACGACGCGACGCGGATGTGTTGGACCCGACTCTTGAAGGCTAAGGGCGACGCGGCCAAGGCAATACAAGAGTGGGTGCTCGAAGTTTGCAACGACGACAAGAAGCGGATCAAGGTTATTCGTACCGATGGTGGTGGCGAATTCGTGAACAACGAGCTTGCGAAATGGATGAAGAGCAAGGGCATCAAGCACGATGTCACAACACCCTACACACCCCAACAAAATGGAGTGGCGGAGCGGCTTAATCGCACATTGGTGGAAGCCGTTCGTTCACTTCTTCAACACTCCAAGCTTGGGAGCGAGTGGTGGGGTGAGGCGAGTTCGCTAGCGGCGTGGATTCGCAACCGTTTGCCGACGAAGGTGCTCCCGGGAACGACTCCGTTCGAAGCATGGAGTGGAACGAAGCCGAACCTATCACGCCTACGCACCTTTGGGTGCCTTTGCTACTACCATGTACCGGATCCCCTTCGCCACAAGTTACAACCGAAGGCTCGTGCGGCAATCTACTTGGGAATTGCGGCGAACGAGCGTGCGTGGCGAGTGTGGGACTTAAGCGAAAAGCGCGTCGTCACGTCTCGAGTCGTGGTCTTCGACGAAGACAAGTTCCCGTCAAAGGAAAAACCCACTCAACAACTCACCTTCATCCTTCCGCCATGAGAGGAGGTTGAAGAGAGTGAGGTTCCATCTCAAGTGGAGAAAGAAGCTGAAAATGGAGGGGGAGAGAACGAGGAGAGCGACGATGACGTGGTGGAGGTGCCATCAACCGAGGCGGCAACTTCCTCCACACCTTCCTCCCTCCCATTGGCGTTGACCCGCGAGCAACGTATACGTCGCCCCAACACGAAGTACAACGACTACGCTATGGTAGCCGTTGGGGAGTTGGACGAGGAGCGTGCGGCATATTGCTTCGCAACCTTGGGTGATGACCCTCGCACCCATACCGAGGCTTTGGCTTCTCCGGATGCGCCACTATGGAAACAAGCGATGGAGAAGGAACTAGCCTCGATCAAAGAGAACGACGTGTTTGAGCTCGTCGACCCGCCGAAGGGTGCCTACTTGGTGGGGTGCAAATGGGTGCTTAAGAAGAAGTTGGGAGCCGATGGGAGTGTCGAACGCTACAAGGCGAGGCTTGTAGCTCAAGGCTACACTCAACGAGAGGGGGAGCACTATAGCGAGACCTTCGCTCCCGTCGCTAAGGCTACAACTCTTCGGGTGTTGCTCGCGCTAGCGGCATCTCTCGACCTCGAGATGGAGCAATTGGACGTTTGCACCGCCTTCCTCTACGGGCTTCTCATGGAAGAGGTCTACATGCGGCAACCCCCGGGGTACGATGACGGTAGCGGAAGGGTGTGGAAGCTCAAGCGTACCCTCTACGGCTTGAAGCAAAGTCCACGCGGATGGTACAAGCGCACGACGAATTTCTTCTTCAACACGGTTTCGCGCATAGCGAGTGCAATAGCGCTTTATACGTGTTGAAGGAGGGGGAGAAGCAATTGGTGCTTTTGCTCTACGTCGATGACCTACTCCTCTTCTCCGACTCCAAAGACCTCATTCGGGAGGTCAAGCAACGGCTAGGGACGGGGTTTGCGATGAGGGACTTGGGGCCGGTCACGTACTACCTTGGGATGCACGTCGATCGTGACCGAGCCAACGGGACCATCCACCTCCACCAAGAGAAGTGTGTGAAGGGGGTAGTGGAGAGCTTCGGCATGGGCGATAGCAAACCGGTGGGAACACCACTAGGTACGGGATTTTCTTGCCTCACGGGAGAGGAAGAATCCACCATCGACAAAGCCGAAGTGAAGCGGTTTCATTCGCTAGTTGGCTCGCTCATGTATGCCGCCGTTTCTACTCGCCCCGACCTCGCATACGCCGCCGGGGTGCTTGGACGAGTCGTGAACAGCCCTCATCCGAGCATGTGCGCGCGGGAGGACGCGTTCTCCGCTACCTCCAAGGCACACCTAACTTGGGGCTCGTGTATGAAGCCGGCCCGATTGAACTCAAGGGCTATGCCGACTCGGACTACGCGGGAGATCCGAGCACGCGCAAAAGTACCTCCGGGTATGTCTTCACCTTGCTTGGGGCAGCCGTGAGTTGGCAAAGCAAGAAGCAACCAACCGTGGCTCTAAGCTCAACGGAAGCGGAGTATATGGCACTCACTCAAGGTGCCATGGAGGTAATATGGTTACGGCGTCTTCTAGCGGAGCTTGGGCATCCTCAACCCAACCCAACTCCTCTCTTTTGTGACAACCAAGCCGCCATAAGCCTCTCTCACAATGCCGTCCTTCACGGGCGAACCAAGCATATCGAAGTGAAACATCACTTCATTCGTGAGGCGGTTGAGAAGGGTGAGATCAAACTCACTTATGTGAGCACCAAAGCTCAACCCGCGGACTTCCTCACTAAACCACTCCCTAAGGATTCATTCTGTGCATGCTGTGAGCGTGTTGGATTGAGCACCTAGTGGCTTGGGTGCAAGGGGGAGTGTTGGAGGTTGAGTGAGGCAAGGTTTTGCCCCCAACCACCGAACGGTGCTTCTCAAGTGTTCCAAGAAGTTTGGCTTCACTGCAGGTCTCGAGAAGGTGCAGGTTGACTTCGAGAGACTTGCATTTTGGTGCCACATGGCAGCACAAGAAGAATCGAGACTCAGGGAGAATTCGATTCGGTGAAATTCGAGACTCGAATTTCACCCCTTCGAAATGTTACTCGAACATTCGAGTGTACCGTGGTTCGAGGTTACATGTGCGGTTCGATGTTGATTGCATGCTATAAAACTAGTAGCTTTGTATGCATGTTTCATACTGGAAAAACGTGAATCACTTTGTACACAGTGCATTCGACAACAAATTCCAGAGAGTTTCCAATCCTTCAACATAGAGCATAGCTTTCACGCTAGTAGCCATATCTCTCTCGATACTTAAGTGATCGATGTGATCTACGGCTCGTTGGAAAGCTAACAGAGTGCTCTACTGATTATAACAATTCCCAGTTCCTGCAAAGTAGAGGAGAGTACTCTACAACAATTTGACCATTAGGCATTAAGCTTGGTGGCAGATGCAACAACAGCTGTATCCTTCAAACCTCTAGGACCTCTTGCCGTATCCTTCTATACTTATGGTTACGTGGCCATTTCCTACGTATAAATTATATGCTCATCACAGATCCTGATTATACATACCCTCACAACTTTCACATTGAATCACATAAGGCACCAGCATTCGTCATGCCCAACATCCCACCTCATGCAAAAAAGAACTAATGGAATACCTAGGACGACTAAGGTGTTCCAACCCAATATGCTTTGTTATGGCACATACGGTTTATTCGCGTAGTGTATTTCCGGATGAATGTCTTTCCCCTGCGCGAATTGCGGCGCTTGGAACGACGGGGGGCAAATGGCAAATGTGATGACCCAATCTCCCCTGTCCTAGGCGCACTGCTCGAACTCCCTGCTCCTTTTTCCTGCATATGGTTAGCACCAATCCCGGAAGCACCTGAGATCTGCGACTCGGATCCGAACAGCACATTCTCTAGTGCGTAGGACATGTATCCTCTCAGGTGCATTTCCCGAGATTTGCGTTTTGCCGTGAAAATTCCTTGCCTCACTGCACCTGCGCAAATTCCTCCCTGCCACATTTCACGGATCCCATTGAACCTGCTACCCCGCCGCATCGGACGCACCAACTATGCATTTTTGTTCGTCTTCGTCAATGTTGCATTGCAACCACCCGTCCCACGCCCTTCAAAAAACGAAGGCGTTCCACTCTTTCACTTCATTCGAACCTCTATATTCCTCTGAGCATTTCACTCGAATTCAGAATCTTTTGGAGTGTCAGGGAGCTCGCCGCTATCTCTTCATTCGCAGTTTCGCTTCGAACACAACATTGGTATCAGCAGGACTATTTTTGACTGTAAACACCATCATGGCCAGGACTTCATTCCCCCTGCGACTCGTTGTCGCCCTTGCTGGTGAGCGGCATTTAGATCTACGACTAGAAGTAGGCTAACACATGTTTCTGGCAATGCTGCGTTGAACGCATGTTCTGCTGGTCTTGCTTATCGTTTTTGTGAGCCTCCTTGTCACCATCTTTGCTAGGTTGCTGGGCCGGAGTTTGCTGGGTTGGCTCTGATTCTTTTTTTTTTATGTCTCGCGAAGCATGCAGGGTTTCCTTGAGAATTCTCAAAAGCATCTTGCGGCTGAGCCGGTGCTGGGGGCTCAACTGTTTTTCAAAGGAAAAGTTTTAAGTCTGTGAGGACGCCTCCGCATCTGCTGGCGAAGTCGCAATTCACTTCCGGAAACATCGCAGCATGCGGAATCCCTCCTCTTTTTTTATGAAATGCGCTGACAAACAGAAACGTTCACGAGGGCACCTCTGCCTAATTTTCCCTCCGTATCCAGCAGCAATGGACGTCGCACCCTGAGACGGGCCGAGCCACCTCTATTTTCAGAAGGCTGCTCTCTCTCTCTCTCTCTCTCTCTCTCTCTCTCTCTCTCTCTCTCTCTCTCTCTCTCTCTCTCTCTCTCTCTCTCTCTCTCTCTCTCTCTCTCTCTCTCTCTCTCTCTCTCTCTCTCTCTCTCTCTCTCTCTCTCTCTCTCTCTCTCTCTCTCTCTCTCTCTCTCTCTCTCTCTCTCTGCCGTCTTGAAAATTTCACAACTCCCACGCTCTCTCGCAAGATTACGCGACGTCTGAAACGCCCTCCTGGAGCCGAATCATCGAGTAACGCTAATATCCCTTCCGCCCACCTCCCTCCCTGTCCCCCCCCCCCCCGGGCCCCCGACGATCGCTCTCCCTCCCCAGCGCTGCTCTCTCTCGTCTCCTGCGCGTCTGCCGCGCGTCACCTGCTCCAGACAGGCATACATTCGCGCTGTAAGGCAGTCCGATGCGCGCTGTCACGAAGTCTGAAGTGCGCTGTAAAGCGTCCGTTTAACTTGTTTAGGGTCAACCCATAAGAAACGCGTCGTCCTTTTAGTTGCTCAAGCCATTTCAAACACGAGTCGCCCAAGTTTCTCCGTGCAGCTTTCACCCACCTTTTCTGCTATCATCTTTCCATCCTGTTATTCGTCGCTGCAGTCCAAGCGACGTCAACGCTAGTATCATTTACTACCACTGCTCTCAATACTACCACCACCACCAGCAACAGCAACACGTAAGTGCACATTCCCCCACACCCGAGTAGTACCGTGTTATAAGCAGTAGCAACTGCTGTGCTGAGGGTGCAGGAACGATTGTTATTTGATTCAAATCAAGTAGATTCGATACACATTTTATCTCAAGTTATTTATGCTGTCTCACATACAAGCGCCCTCTCGCTTCCCCCTGTTCTCAGATCGACTACCACCACCTCTAGGACTTCCACTAGCCTTAATGGCACTTTTAGCGTGGATATCAACGTGTAAGCTCTGCAACCCCGAGCTCAGCTTTCCAATCAGTTCACATATCAGTTTTTCAAGCTATTCTATATTCACCCATCTGCACTTTTGACGACCTTTCACCCAACGCTTTCAGCTGAAGGCTTCAGCTATTAAAACTTTATCTCTCGATCTAATGAAACTCGATTCATTCCCGTGTCTTATCCCGCACCACCACGTTCAGCACGGCTGCCATTCAGAGTGCGTCCTTTGTGTTCCGCGTGAACGGAGTTCCTCGGCTCCCAATCCCCACATTCACCAGCCCTGGATACTATGCCAACAGGAGTCTAGCCCTCGTGACTGATTTTCCATGCTCGTTCAAGCTCGATACCTTCAACGCCTATTCTTGCATGGTTACAGATAACGCAAACCTCACTGTTGCGTATGAGCCGGTGAACAAGGCTAAGTTGTTGATAGATGCTGGGTTCTTTTCAAACCCTACGGCGTTTTACTCATCCATCAAGGTCAATGGTGCGGAGATGAGGGGAACAATACTTGGGTCTGTATCCTCATTCTAATCTATGGCTAGCTTATGATATGTTCTTTTTCCAACTCCCAATTGAAATCACGCATAATGATTTTTTGTGTGTAATTTCCCATGGAAGGGGTGGTTTATTCAGCTTCTCGTTTGTTATTATAAGTTAATGCGATTGTATTTCCAGTATTCTTCCACGAAGCGGCTCTGAGCTGAAGGCTTGATATTTGAAAACGAGTATGCAGCTCAGCCACACTGCCCACCACCACCACCATTTCCATACTCCGCCACCATTTCGTATGTCTGTTGAATGCCGGCGTTACTCATCTCGCCAAACACGATAGTTTTCGCAGCACATTCTTACAGCTTCAGGATTCGTGTGTGAGATCTGCGGCAAGGGTTAGGCACCAGTCATCGTGGGTCAGCCAGCTGCACCGAGTGTGGTGAAATGAGTGTGGCGAAGCGCCGATATGCAAACCAGGATGCGGCGCGGGGCGGGGGGAAGCGGACGAAATTTGTCACGCAACGCGACGCGACAACTGGATGAGGTGAGGGGTGAGCAACACGAGCCCCACACATCTTGTCTGACGATGAGACAAGAGTGCCTTCCATCCAGTCACTCAAGGGACGAGCCTTGAGATGAGATCAGCCGTTGAAGAGAAAACTCTCATGACTATAAAGAGCTCCTGCTGTGGCTTACTGTTTATTGCGAGTATTGAGGCGTAGCATTAGTTAGTAGATTCAAGACGAAGCCCTTCCTGATTCCTCGTGTCTCCAGTGAGTTCACAATGGTGAGCAGGAGAATTGTCACATTTCCCCCAACTTCCGCTCGTGCTAGAAGTATCAGTATCGGCTTATTTCTCGCGTCGCTGCTAATTTGTAAACTCGACTGCGCTGTCGCCGCGTCTGAAACCACCACTCCTGAAGGAGAGCATGAGTTATTGCTACCACAGACATGGCAAAAGTACCTACATTCCGGGGAAATTAACCGAAATTGGAGAAAATTCCTGTCGCCGCTAACGATTGGGAAGTTTCGGGAAAAGTCAGCATTTACGCATGTAGGGCACGCGAACAGCTATGGAAGCGAGGGATCCGAGTTGAGCAGCACGACTGGAAACGGAAGATTCGGCGGCACGACTCGTCTAAAAATGAAAAAGAGCAGCAGCATTGTACAAAACGTCCAGCGCCGCGACCGACTCGGAGCCCCCAGCGTTAGGGTTAGCAGGCATCTCAGATCGCCAAGGAACGCAGGGACGAACGTAGTACCGAGGGGGCCTCGCACCGTAAGACGGACTTTAGCGGAGATTGTGCATTTGATGCAAAGCGGACCAAGTAATGACGGAGCCGGTATCCCCGTTATAGAGGCAGTTGGAGTGAAGGATAGCAACGGCGACAAGCCGAAGCCGAGGAAGATCAAATCTCCGTATCCGTCGGCGCAGCAGATCGACTTGAACGAGCCCAAGATCGAATCCTGGACTCCCCCAAAAAACCGGTACCTTTTAGCTCTGTGCGTGTACGGGCGACTGTCCAATCAGGAGTGGTGCTTGCGGAACTATTTAATCGCCGCCGCAATTCTGCAGCGAACACTTGTGATACCGACCGAGAGTTGCGGCGTGGCTTTCGCAACGTTCTGCTGGCGTTGGGACAACATAGTGGATGTAGCTAGAATGAGGGCGTGCCTCGCGCCGGCTTATGGTACTAACGAGACTGTTATTACGGTGGATGAGTACGTGGCGAGGGAGGGCCGTGACATGGCAATCGATCACATCGCGTGCTTTTCGAACCGCTCGTGTCTCGACAACTGGGCCGTAGTGAGTAGCAACCCCACAGGCCTTGCATCATTATATTGCTACTGTAGCAACAATCTACCCCTTACTACAGCCGCTTCTCATTGCTTTTGAGGCGCCTCAAAAGCAATCTACCCCTTACTACAGCCGCTTCTCATTGCTCCCATGCCTGCCTGCCTCCCCACCTCGCCTCTCACGAACTAAATCCATATCTCTCGAGGGGGCGTTAGAGGCGAGGTGCCTCCCCACCTCTCGCAGACCTCAACTCAAACTCCCCCACACTTCTCCGTTTCCCCCAGCTGTAACCTCCCTCCCATCCTTTCCCCCTCTCGTCCGTATGTTCGCCTAACAACGCTTCATACTATTTTCCTTTTTGGGGATTCTCAGGGATGATTGTTCCCGGAAGTCCAGCCATCACGATCAGAATCCCCATTCCCACCAATTTACAATTCATATCCGCATCCCCACCCCCGTCACCATCCCCATCCCCATCCCCATCTCTTCCCCAGATCAAGGAGCACTATCCGCACATCACGCTGCCAGGCAAGCTTGAGTACCCCACAATACCCTCCAAGGATGTCAACGACTTTCTGCACGCCTACGCTCCCTATAACGACGCGCCTATCATCAGCCTCGGGGATGCCTACGGCATGGGCCTGCGCGGGCTCCCTTTCTACTTCGAGGGCGCGGTTGCGCCCTTTACAAGCACCTGCGCGGACATCTGGCAGCCTCCCCTCGTTATAGAGAACTTCGTTCACGGATTCATCGACACGTTTTTGGGGTCGGAGTATGCAGCGCTGCACCTAAGGCGGAGCGATTTCTCCAGGGCTTACAGGAAGGAAGACAACTCGAGGGAACGAGCCTCTTTCCTTCCCATCGTCACAGTCGCTCGCTTTGTGATCGAGAGGTTGAGAGATACGGGCGTGTCTGCTGTGTACCTCGCAACTGATGCAAGCCCGTCCGAGATTCAACTGCTGGAAAAGCTGTTCCTTGGTGAGTATACACCACACGTTCTGAATCTGTTCTCTTTATTCTCCATGCACCTGACTACTCGTGGGACCCCTTGATGCAAGTCGAGTGTTCTGAGCCACGTACGTTTCTGTTTTGCGGCGGCCCTCCCAACGAAGTTGCTCATTGCCTATGCCCAGTCTGCTTTGACATCAGGAATTCCTTCTGTTACCTGCCCCTCAGGTTCGGGTAGCTGGAGGCCGCTTGTGGTTGTGCGCCTGCCCGAGTTTGTGAAAGGATCCGAGGAGTATTCACAATTCCCCTGGGTGAGGAATTTCCAAGACTTGGACTCAAAGGAGGATGGCATACTCAGGGCACTTGCGGAAAAGCATATATGCGCTAATGCACGCATCTTTATAGGCACACCGCGGTCAACCTTCTCTTCGGACATTCTTAGGTTGAGAGTGCTCCATCAGAAGATGAATGACCTGGATGCATATCTGAGTGACGACGAGGTATGATTTTGCCGTCCGGTCATAGGTAATAAGCTCGGCAGAGGGCATGACAACAGCTGCTTGCTCTTCAATAATATGACACTAGAACTCCTCACCTGCAGAGGGACAGCCATAAGGGTTACAATTGTTGGGCTGAAAAAGTCCTTAGGATCGTTCAAGACCAAACTTTCAGATAGTGATGTATTTAGCGGAAGCGTAATACTGCATTGAGTGAACCACCTTGTACTAATATGTGAGAACAAGATGAATTGATAAAAGCAAATAGATACAAGGATATATATATATATATATGATTGTAAGGAATACGAAGGGTTTAACTGTAACAGCTGTTGCGGTTCGATATAGCGACGACTCGGGTAACTGTTCAATAACGAGTCAGTTATTTGTCCTTGCTGCCGCGCTGCCTTCGTCAAGTCAAATGTCGTTGACCTTTGACCTTTGCTTCAACCTCCTGCTGTTGTCGCCTAGTCAACCGCTTTGGTTGACTCAGTGTTGCTTCGCTGTGAGTATACTTCTCTTTTTGTTATAGTGCTCGATACTTCATAAGCGTAAACTGAATGTTTCCAACACTCCCCTTCGCTTCAGGAGTGTCATCGCCTTCGTTGTTGGTGACATGGCCCTGTCCAGTCAGCAGCATGCAGTACTCAAACTTTTGCTTTCCAAGTTTCTTGGTTAGATAATCTGCTGCCATCTCGGACGTGGGGCAGTAGGATAGCTCGAGTCTCCCTTTCTCGATCTCGTCCTTCACAAAGAAGTAGCGTAGGGCAATGTGCTTCGTTCGGTTTGCGAACCCACTCTTGTTCGCTATGCGAATTGCAGATTGGTTGTCGCAGAAGAGGGAGAAGCTGAGTAACTGAGCCAGCTTTGCTTCTTCCTGTAGTTCGCGAAGGTACAGTCCTTCCTTGGTGGCTGAGCAGAAAGCTATGTATTCGGCTTCAGCAGAGGAGAGTGCAATTAGTTCTTGTTTGCTCGACTGCCACGAGATAGGTCCGACGGGATCAAGTCGATAGATGTAGCCGGTGCGTGATTGCCTGTTGTCAGAGTCGACTGCGTGGTCAGCGTCCACATAGCCGATTAGCTTTGGAGTAGTGGTTCCGGTCTTGTGGTAGGCTAGGCCGATCGTTGGCGTGCTGACGAGGTAGTGTAAGGCGCGGTCGAGTTCGGCCTGTCAAACATATATGCTTAGTTATATCTAGGCTTAGTTCATGTGTTTACATTTCTCTAGGCTATAGTGGGTTTAGCCTTTGGGGGTACAGAAT